TTCCTCCTCCTCCTCGTCCTCCCTGTAAGAACGAACTCTTGGACCTCATAGGAGACTTTTTTTGGTATTTTAACTCCTGACTTTCTCGTGTTGCTCCTCAGAGGTAAAAAGGTACAGAACTGCTCACTTACTGTCCGTCAAGCTGCTGCAGTGACAGTTTTATTTCTGAGCCATTGTCACTTGACGGCTCTGTGGCAACTACATGAAAATGGATTTCAGGCTTGAAACCGACCACACACACACACAAACACACTGATGGTAATTCCATGTAAACGAGTACTGAGGATTTATCCTGCAGAAATAGACTGGATAGAAAATCTTGTAACTTGTAGCTGACTCTGGAAACCAGAGCAAGAAAAACTCATGTGGAGCTAAAACCGGACTCTTATTTCAGTTCCTAACACCCTGCTTTCTCTTCTGTTTTTTTGTATATTATTTTTCTTTTTACTGTTTCTGGAAAAAAAAAAAAACTTATGTGGGGCATTCAGGTGGACTTGGCCCCATTCTCCGCAGTGGAGAAGATTTATTTTGTTGTCTGTGGCAATCTATACAGAAATTATATGTTCATTCCTCTTGTCGTTGTTGTTTTTTCTGGCTTGTTAATTATTATTTTATTTTACGGACAAAGTTGGATTTTTTTTCCTCCTTCATGTTGATTTTGTTTATTATGTCAGCAGTTCACTGTACAAAGTCAATTTTGGTTTTTCGACTGAGGCTCTAGAACATTCCTGTTTAAAAAAAAAAAAGATCCCTTTTGCACTATTTAAGATAAGAAAAAAATATGAATGAAGTCAGGCTGTGCAATATGTTGCGTTTAATGGCAACTTTCAGCATTGTACTGTTGGTAGCCTATTAATAATGATTTTAAATGTATTTTAAATATGTAAAATAAACCTTTTGGACTTGAGCATGAGTTAGCAAAGCGACGTGAAGGTGAAGTTGTTTTGTTCTGCGTTAGGCTGAAGACGATTAACAGTTTGTAGTTTTTAATATTTGTAAATAAACTACAACAGCAAATGTGAAACTGAGCAGTCTGCCTACTTCTTCATCACTACTTCATACCATTAGATATAGACGAGACAGGGAGACATTTAGGACAGATGTGATGAAAGGGGAAGAAAAAAGATAACACAAACATGAAATCAACTATCATTAAGGTTTCATTTTAAAGATAGAAAGTGAACATCTGAAGCAAGGTTTATTTATTAAGACTTTGACTTAAAAGTGTAAAAAAAAACATAACTGAGGGTTTCTTCAGCCAACATTAGAGCAACAGGTATTAGTCTGCACCTTTTCCCTGTATGGTTAATTTCAGCTTTCTGTATTTGTTGTTACTGTAGTGACATTTCTTTTGACATTTTTTGTTTCAGTTCTTACTAACCTCAACGGTTTGACACTCCACTGAAGGTACAAACTATAAATACAAAAAAGAATTGTGTGAGCAGTGACACTGGAAATCATTGCTCTCAAGTTTATCTACTGACCTGAAGTATGGTCGGCAAAGAAATGGTTAAAATAACATCACATGGCACTTAGAAAATATAGTATTATTATTCATTTTATCCAATAGACATTATCTTAAAGTGTTGCCTTTTTCTTCATTGCTCACATACAACAGTGAATGAGTTTAACATAAATTAACATTAGTTATCATTCTACAGTAGGGATGGATATCATTAGGGTTATTATAATATAATTATTTTATTATTGATACTACTTATTGATACTTTTATTGATACTACTCGCCATAATTTGACGTAAAGACATGACATGGAAATGATGTTTGCATACTATTTAAATTGTTTCCTGAGTTAGTACATTTAGCTGTATTTTCATTAAAATTAGTAAAGTGAGTTCACACTTTTGAATGTCATTCCCTGTCAGCTGTTTATATAATGTTACATAAATACAGAGAGCAGTATAATTTGTCCAAGAGCTTACTGGTTTTCCATACCTGTCCCTAGTCTTCAGGTCTGCAGGAAAAACAAGTGTGTGAGTCTTGAGTCTTGAAAATGTAAACACTTCCAGTGTTGTCTCTGCTTGTGTTAAAGGAAGGTACAGTATGTCACGGTCTCTCTCACAGCTCTCTGTTGCTCTGTCCTACAGTCTAACTTTATCTCTGTCTCAATAAAGTCAGTGGTTCTGTCACCCTGTCCTTTCTCTCCTGTACCTTCACGGACCAGAAGGGTCTGGCTGCAGCTTCAGGCAACAGCGACACTGTCAGGACCCTCTGCTACAACACACAAGGACATAAAGCTTAAGATTGTACAGACATACTGGCAAACATGATAGAAGCATTAGAAAGAACTATGAAGGCCAGACGGTGACGCAGATCAACCTTATAATTCTACTTTAATTCAAAACTTAATCCAGGATGTACGAGGGACTATTGTCTCTTAAAGTGACAGTGGCAGTTCTCCTCCTCTCTATCTGCTCTCTGTCAGTGTTGGATCCACTCTAACACAATTTACAATGTACAATTCATTCTTATTTTCATGAAAGCTCATTTCTGACAATTAAAAAGAAGAAACCATCTGTTATTTTTTTCATATTTAGGTATTATTTCATATTTATTTAGATAATATTTATCTCAGTTATGGTTTTTTTTCTAATGTTTTCTCATTTGTTATAATTATAAGGAAGTTTAACATGGCAAAAGTGGATTTTTGTAAGGCTAGAATAGCTGCTAACAGGCGAGCAAGAGCTGTAGGCATGTTTATTATTGTGTTGTCTTAACAGGTTTGAATAGCTAACAGTATAGCATGCTAAAGTTTTTGTTTTCAGCACATTAAACATTCTCCACAGTTTTCATGCTAATGTAAGCATACTAATACTTTTGTAAATAGAAACATAGTCTAATAATTTTAAAACTAAGCAAGCTTTGACAATGTTGCTGAAAATAACATTTTATGAAGAGAATATCCAAGAGTTATAAACTGACATTTGGATTTGTCAAAGTAGCTGTAGCTGTACCTGTAGGCTAACTAGTAACATTTTCTTGCATTTAATTGAACTGCTCCAGTTTCAGTGCTTTGATATTGTGCCTGCTGGCTCACCAGTATGACTTATTGGGACATCTAAATGGAACTAAACTATTATTATTATTATTATTATTATTATTATTATTATTATTATTATTATTATTGCTTAAACCTTGTATTAGTATAAATACAATGGAAATGCAGCAGTACAGGAAGAGATGAGAAGTTGGACAGAATGAATCCATAAAAGGCTTTCTCATGAAACATGACATTGCACTACAATATTTTATGCATATTTCTGATAGCTATAGAGGGTTCTGAGACAGTAATGACCTGACAGCCATGTTGCCTCTGCAGCCAGACTGAGCTGGACACTGAGCTTCTCTCTGATTGGCTGGTTGATGTTTCTCGTTCCTGTACCGTACAGGAAGTCTCTGTCATGGAATACACTGCGTGCCAGGAAGCGCGCTGAAGCCAAGGATGTCTCCTCGTTGGGGGTTAGAGGCCAGGAGAATGGCCTCCTCCGTAAGCCCAAAGAAACCACACCCCCTCCCCTGCTCGCCTCCCCCGCCACCAGGGCGAAGGGCAAAGTGAGTAAAGCAGGCCGACGGCGCACGCTGGTGATGTCATATATGTGTGCCAAAAACCCCTCACCTGCCCTCCCTGGTTTTTATTTTTCTTCTTAACCCGTGTGTGTGCGCGCGCATGTGTGTGCAAACCTACAAACACACACAGTAGTTGCTGTGTCTCTGTTGGACTCCAGCAGTGGTTCTCAACCTGCATCAGACATAAATTACACTTTTATTGACAGTTGTTGACAGTTCAGTGTATTTTGTATTTATGGATCAGGTAATTGGCCAACCAAACCATAAGTTAAGTTTTTGCCATAAAAAAAAAGATGGGTAGAAATTGGTCTACAGCTCAAAATGAAACTTCCCAAATGAACTCTTTACCAAGGCTGTTTGTGGATTCACTTACCTGTGAGCAAATCCACGATCACAACAATGCCATTGTAATAAATTGATTCGTATGAACAGGTTTAAGATGGCTGCGGGCGAGGGTAAAAGCGAAATATGGAACTGAATGTAGATCAAATTATAAAAATATTAGATGGTTGAGAACCACTAAAGAAGAACACTGCAAGTTTTATTTTACTCTTTTTTTGTTTTACCCCAGACCCTCAAATGCACTGACTGGAAAATAAAGTCTGATTTCTTTTTGTGTTTTTGCGTTGTGATTTATTTCTCCCTCCTTCTGCATGGCTAGAGGTAGAATTCAGTGACTTATTAATTTCAATTTTGGATTTGTTTCTCCTCTGCTGTGTTAACCAGTGTTTTCTATAGTGGTCTAACACAATGGAACTCACCAAAACAGTCTTGTGTATATAACATATGATAGTTTGATGTGATTGTATGATAGTTTCAAAATTAAAACACAGTAGATCTAACTTTGTTTTTCATCTGCACCATGTGAAGAAAAAACAATTTTCCACTTTTTAAGTTCCCACTATGAATGAAAGCTTCATGAATCTAAATGCACCTTTGACCGATTCCTTTTTACCTCCTCCTCTTATGAATGTGTTAAAAACATGAATTACTTCTGCTTAGCAACTTTTCAACCTGAAAGGGTTTCTACATGTATAGCAGTGAATATTTTTTAGTAAGGCATGCTGAGCTACGAATGTCAAACACAGGGACAGGCTCAATATACGGAAGCCCGGAAAGGCAAGTGAGAAAAAGTAATACATTTTCTGTCTGACCTAAAGTCTGATAGTTTTCTCTCCTGTGGTTGTGACTTGAAAACGGTTGAAAATGGATCATCTTTTAACTTCCTTACATTTTTTTGTTGTTTCTTTTGGTCTGGGGACAAAAAATATATTTTTTTCTAAGTTAACATTGACACATTTCAGCCACAAAGGGCGAAAGTACGCCACTACCCCATGTGCTACATAGGAACAAAAAGCATTCATGTTTTCTTCTAGGTGAGATTTATTGTCTCTTAGCATAAAACAACATGACATAAATGTTACATAATAGTTTAGATTGCATGGAGAGAAAAAACATTGACCTGCCAAAACTTTGTTCTAAAAAATTTTAATTTTGAAAACTTTACCTGGCAAAACTCTTTATTTTCCCATAAATAAAAAACAAAAACATGAAGGGCCATCTAAAGTATTGAATTCAGACTTTCTTTCTTACTTGCCTCTAGGGGCTTCCATATTTTGTCATCCAAAGAAAATCCTGTTCACTTTCTTAACTTAAAATAGTCTTTTAAGGTCCAAACTACTCTGGACATTATTCAGTGACTTTGTTTTTCTAGATATGAATTTGGGAATTTGTTGGAGCCAGCATTTAGTGGCCATTAGGGCAATTATCGTTTAAAGAACTTCAGCAGTTAGCAGTGGTTCATTGTGGGGTAGGCCATTCTTCCTACGAAGGAAAGGAAAATAGAGAGGATAAGGAACGGCTCTCAGGTGAGTATCAGCCAAACTTCAGTTCCTGGAATAAACTTCTAGGTCAGAAACGCTCCACAGTGGACAAGATTTGTGTTTTTCCTGTTTTCCCCTCTTTCCCCACAGAGAAATAAACGCACATACTCCTAATATTCTCTTCACCCCCCTTACTTCCTTTTTCCACTTCTCTTATTTACTCTTTCTCTAAAATTTTCCTCCATCTTTGACATGATTATTCTTTTTTTCTTTTCTCCCTCCCATTCCTGTCCTCTTGTTTGCTCTCTGCTCTATTCTCCTTGTCTGCCTCTCTCCATTTGGCCTCTAACCATTTCATCCATTTTTTCTCTCCCGTTATTCTCTTGCTCTTCTCTTTCATTGTTCCCAATTTCCACTGTCTTCTTTCCTTCCTTTTGCTCCTCTCCTACCGTCCTTTAAACTCCACACCTCACTCTCTTTCCCCCCATTCTTGTGCTTTTCTGTTGTCTCCCTCCTTCATTCTCCACCAGGAGGTTCACACTTCAGATGAGTCAGACTGTGATGATGACCTTGACCCAAAGACAGGCATGGAGGTACGCGCACACACTATGACTAGGACTAGATTTTGGAAACATGTTGCATGGAGTTCATGTATCAGCATTACAAAAGCAGATTCTTTTGTCTTAAAAATAACTGGGAAATGGCAGAGAGAAATTTAGAATGTGCGTGTGGACAGGCAGTTTAAGGTGTAGTTTTTTAAAAGCGTAATACATGCTGAAAACTAAACCTCACCAAAACTTTCACTCTGACCTCGTCTGTTTTGCAGCTTCTCAACCCAAACTTCATCCAGGAAGGTAAGAGACACATGAAGTAATCCGAGTCAGTTTATCACCCAGTGCATTAATTTTAGCTTCAGCCTAATGCAGTTTCTTGGTGTTGAATATACATATACATGACCAGGAGGTGTACAAGTTTAAAGCATCCTCAAAAAGCTAAACACAGAGGCTCCTGCAGACCATAATGTTGTTTAACTTCCTATTCCTATAGTAGACATTTTTGGTAGCTACAGCATGCCACAATTGGCAGTAGGATGCTTTGAAGGTGCAGCAGGTAACTTTTATAAAAAAGACTTTTTGTCATATTTGCTAAAATTTTAACAATATCCTGACAGTAGTACATGACACAATCTGTCAGGTTCCTCTGGCTCTTTCTAGTGCTAATGTTGTGGTAGTGCTTTATCTGTCTCATGTACTATTATCTGAAAGACCTGAACACAAGCTGTATTCACAGAGTCTCTGATAAACAAAGAGCTAATAGATCAATGAGAAGAAAACACTGAATCTGTCAAAAAAGAAGCCTATTAAGTCTGTAGGATTATTTAAAAATAAAGAAAACACATCATACAAACACAACTGTATAAAAAGTTCCTAAAAATAACAAAAAAACTAAGCTCTGATATAATCTGCTTAAAAATTCAGCTAAATTATAATTTTACTCAGTTATTGTGTTCACTGTTCTGTTGTTTAGTCAGGGGTCATCATCTTACTAAATGATAGAAAAGGGGTCCCTTAAGAAAACACTTTTAAATGATAAAATCCCACTGTGGACACTAGTGGGTTACATTTGGTTGGCAGCATCCCTGCTTGATTAATTATGCCAGACTGCTGATGAACCATTACGCATTACACTGGTCCCATAGCTGAGCTGCTAACTGGGCCCAAGTCCACATCCTCAATGAATAAGCAAGTCTGGCAGTCATATAAAGCGAAGCAGGATGGCATCTGATCCATCTAGTGCCAGAACACAGCCGACTGTGCCGACACTGTGCCAGAATGAGGCCTGACTTAACTGGATGTGTTATGCCTAAATATCTCTACAAATATAAGGTCATAGGAAAATATTGTGGACAAATTAAAACAGATGTCTGCTGGTGTGATATAATGGGAATAATGGGAATTCACAGACCAGAGTTTACCACTGTGTTTACCAACCCCCTCCATAGTCACATGGCTCAATGAAGAGCACTTGATTCTGTCTTAAGTACAGATTTTCCACATTTAAAGTGCTTAATATATACAGGGTATTCAGTGCATTAAGGTACATAGATTACATTTTAACTCGACATTGCAGTAAGAGCTGAAGAGCCAGTATTCAGTGATGTGTTTCCCCTGTGCAGTGGCTCCAGAGTTCCTCGTCCCTCTGTCAGACGTGGTGTGTGCGTTCGGGGAGACTGTGGTCCTCTGCTGTAAAGTGTGTGGGCGACCTAAACCTTCCGTTACCCTGAAGGGCCCCGACCAGAACCCAGTGACCAGCAACAGCCGCTTCACCATAGACATCAGGTAACACCAGGTGCATGCGTGTGTGTAGTTTCCTTTGTCTTGACTGTAAACGCTCTAATTACACTGGGTTCAGTTTAGTCATTATCTCTCTTTCCTTCCTTCATCCCTAATTCTATTCCTCTGTCCTACCTTTCTCCTCCTCCTCCTCCTCTCCAGGGACACAGGGGACATCTTGTTGAAGATCTGTAATCTGATGCCGCAGGATACTGGGATCTACACCTGCGTTGCTGTTAACGACCACGGCTCTGCCTCCTCCTCCGCCTCCATCAAAGTGCAAGGTAACACGCCTCGATTAAAAAGAGCCTTTCACCATTATAAAGCAGCAGCCCTGGTCAGCAGTTAGATGGTTGAGAAGCTGTAATGTTACAGCGAGATTTTCTTTGATTTGCAACCTTGTGTAACCTTTAGCTGTTCAACAACAGTCTAAACAGCAGCTGCAGTGGTTTGCTGACTGTGCGTTTTTCTGTCTCCTGTAGGCATCCCAGCAGCCCCTGGGAGACCTGTGGCCCAGGAGGCCAGTAGCACGTCGGTGATGGTCCACTGGCCACCTCCGGCTTCATCCGCTCACTGTGCAGTCAGCAGCTACACTGTGGAGTACAGACAGGAAGGTAGGTGTGTGTGTGTGTGTGTGTGTCTGTGTGTGTGGACAGGTTGTTTTTTTTTTTTTTTAACGAGCAATGGAACATGCAAAGAGACTAACTCCCTCACCCTCACATCTCCCCCCCAGACTCGTTGCTATGGCAGCAGGTGGCGAGCAGCAGAGAGGAGTGTGTTCAGATCGACACTCTGATCCCCGGAGGTCACTATCAGTTCAGAGTGCGAGCCTCCAACCGCTGGGGGGTCGGCCCGCCATCCGAGCCCTCAAACATGGTCACACTACCCAGCAGCAGTAAGTCACACACATACACACACACACACACAGTTTTATAATGTGGGCACAAAAACATCTTTTCCACAGGAAACAGCTTCAAATGAGTAGTTTTTTGCTTTCTTTGTGAGAGGGAGATCAGAAGATTGAAATGAATCTCTCTGTGCGTTAAGGACGTGACCCAAACGTGAACAGAAATGTAAAAATAAAAAGTTTTGATATTAGAGAGAGTTAAACAGTTTAACAGAGCCAGGCTAGCTGTTTCTCACAGTTTTTTAGTTTTTAGGCTAAGCTAAGCTAATTGCATCCTGACCCCTGGGACCTTATTACAGAAACTTAGAAATCCTAAATTAAGTAAATTTAAAATAACCAAAAGGGTTGTACCACTGTTGTTAGTTACAATGACAATGACAATGAAGATGGGGCTACTCAAACCGTATGATGGCACTTTAAATTTCCCAGAGCATGTATTTAGCTATATATCAACTGCCAATGCATTTTGAATTTGATCGACGTGCTACATCCTCTAACATCTTTATCCTGGGAAAATAACTGGGAAGAAAACTTCCCAAAAAAGTGTGGGTTCCCCTCCTCCACAACACAATGAATTCCTCCAACAAATCTCTAAAATTTGAGCTATAATGGACTGGCTGTCTTTTCTAGTCCATTTTAGCTAACTGTAGCTGGCCAGTAACAAGAGAAGTGAAACAGGCAGTCACATGCTGATTGCAGAATTAATTTTATAGTTCCAGTCTGGATTTCTTACGTTAAGGTACGAGGTCTGAGATAGGATAGGACACAGCCATGAGTTTAGGAATGATATATGCATCAAAACAGCATACAGTAAAGCCTTGTCCTTAGGTAGATGAATGTAAACGTGCTCTGGGACAGAACAACTGACACACAAAGGATAGAGGACAGGGTGGCAAAAGAGAAATTCTCAAAATGTAAATGTACCAATCCTACTTCCTTATGTTCTGTGCAGACTCTGGGTATGATGGGACAGGGATCCAGTGGAAAGAAAACTTTGAATCCACCTTCTCAGAGATCTGTGAGATTGGAAGGTAAACTGTCTTTCATAACCCAAACTTTGATATTCAGCTCCAGATGTTGATAGTTTGGTCTTTTAATCTGGCCTCTCTTGTCTTTGTTGCTCCCTCTCTCCACCAGGGGGCGATTTTCAGTGGTGAGAAAATGTCTCAACAAATCAACAAAGAAAGAGGTAGGCCATCCCTGACAGTCTGCCCTGTATAGACTGAGCTGATGCTGTTGTAAAGTGTGTTTTGCATTTCACTGTTCAGTCTATTGCTGTCTTCTTCTTTGCAGTGATGTTCATATTCAAGATTGCAATGAAAAAGTTTATTTATTTAATTTCTACATATTTTAGGTTCTAATCACATTTTTTGTTGAAATTTAGCCTGCGGTTTGACATGTTTTGTGTTTTCAGATGTACTTTTATTCGAAATTTCACTGAGGCTTATTTATTAAGTATAAATGTTTATTTTCAGTGTATTTTGACATTATTTAAGTTACCTTTTCTCTATATATTGTCCATTTGAGGTGTGTTTCAGGTTGAAGTGATAGATTTATTTCTTCCAAATACATATCTGTATTTTCCACCTTGAAGTTAGTTTTGCATGTGTCAGTTTACAATGAATGTTACTGTCTCTCAGCGTGCACTTTATTTTTTTCTGTGCAGGTTGCAGTTAAGTTTGTGAGCAAGAAGATGCAGAAGAAGGAGCAGGTGGCTCACGAGGCTGACGTCCTCCTACATGTACAGAATCACCAGCTGGTGGCGCTGGTGGACACATATGAGTCTCCCACCTCTCTGATGCTGATCCTGGAGCTGTGAGTCTGACTCCTGCTGTCACTGAAACAAAGTTACTGTCTTGTAGCCCAAGTCTCTGCTCAAGAACACACTTGTCAAGGTTCAACTGTTAGCTATTAGGCATTATATATTTTGAAGTATACGAATTTTAGGTTATTTTTAAGTAGTTTTTAACTCGTTCATGTCCACGACCGGGTCAGATTCGGTTAGATGGAAGTCCCTTGAAATCAATGAAACGAGGCAGTAGAAACATTAGTTTTTGTCCACAGGGGCCACCAGAATCAACACAAAATGTTCCTTGTAGGGGCTTTAAGAAAAAATATCAAAAGAGCAAAAATTCTCTTGGAAACAAAAAACAAAAACATGACTTTGTAAACTGTATCTAAGTGTTATTTAATGTGTGTGTCAGGCTGGAGGATGGTCGTTTGCTCGATTACCTCGTCGCCCACGATGAGCTGATGGAGGAGAAGGTGGCGTTCTTCATCAGAGAAACACTAGAGGCCCTGCAGCACCTTCACACCTGCAGGGTGGCACACCTGGATCTGAAGGTGAGAACCAGATGTGTGTGCTACATAAAAATAGACTGACTTTGTGCATTTGTGCCTCGGAAATGAATTCATTTATACATATGTACAGAATGCTCTTTATGACAAGATAAAACCACTGGCTCCCATCTGTTACTGAATTCTGTTTCTCTCCCCTCAGCCGGAGAACATCATGGTCGACCTCCGCTCTGCTACCCCGTGCATTAAGCTCATCGACCTCGGCGATGCCGTTCAGCTGTCCGCTCACCGCCGCTATGTCCACCTCTTGCTTGGAAACCCCGAGTTTGCTGCGCCCGAGCTCATCCGTGGTACGCCAGTCTCTGTCGCGACGGATGTGTGGAGCGTGGGCGTGCTGGCCTACGTGATGCTCAGTGGCGTTTCCCCGTTTCTGGATGAATCGCCAGAGGAAACCTGCGTCAACATCTGCCGCCTGGACTTCTGCTTCCCGGACGAATACTTCCGCGACGTGAGCCAGGCAGCGAGGGATTTCGTGTCCTCGGTGCTACAGCAGGATCCCAGGAAGAGGCCAAGCGCTACTTCCTGTCTGCAGCACCCCTGGGTGGGTCGTGGGGGTGCCCATGGTGGGGAACACTCCAAGACGCCTCTGGACACGACCCGGTTGGCCACATTCATAGACCGCAGAAGACAGCTACATGACGTCCGGCCCATCACTAATATCAAAGGGCTGGTGAGCAGCAGCATGGGCAACACACTGTGAACGAGAGGAGCTCTCACTCAATAACAACCCATCTGTGACCACCAGGGAACCCACAAGAACTCTACAGTATATCTGAAGCATTTAATTATCTTTAGTATTTATTAATGTGTGAGTGGGAGAGGAACTCTGTGCCTGGATCCTTCTTGTGGTGTGGTGATCTTTTTGCTAGGACCACTACAGTAGGGCCCTCTGGAGCAAACTGATAAGCAGAAAAATCTGTGAAATTTACAGCTGTACAATATTTAATTGCTGACTAACACTTCATCCGATCTTCATTAACCTGGTATCAATACAAAGTGGATCCTATAAACTACCCAGACACCCCGTGAAGAACCCAAAGAAATGAGCTCAAAGTTGAGAAGAATGAGCGTTCAGAAAACTCACTGTGAGCAGGCATGATGGCGAGATATTGGTTTATATTTGTACTGTTTATTTTTCCAGGGACAGATGATATATTGGAGGCAAGCGCCGTTATGTTGAGCTACTCATGTCTTATTTACTTGGCTCTGCAGAGGAACACTGGGGGGCAGCACGGAGTCCTGCAGCGATCGGCCTCGCTAGCTGACCGTCCAGCAGAATCACACTCACTGAGAAGCATTTTACCAGCCATGCTCAGCTAACAAGCTTCAGCTAACTGAACATAATAGAAGGTCTTAAGAGTTGTTGACCACTAGAGGGCAGGTTTAGCCCCACAGTGATATTCTGCCTGAAATCATCCCGTTGGTCAGCAGCAAAAATGGTAATGTTTCCGATGTATTTGTAGTCATCTAGTCTGACTCTCATGAAGGATTAAAGAGTCTAAACAGTTTCAGAGGGAATTTGACTGATCACAGCTGATAGATGTGCTAGAGGAGTTAGAAATGTGCAGCTTTTTAATGCTGGTTTAGTTGCCGTTATTATCCCCAGGCTCTTCTAGTGTTTTTCCATCCATTAGCTCCAGTTCTTGAACCGGTTCTGTTCAAGATTCTTGGAACCTTGGTGCTCTCAAGTGAACCAGCCTAAGTTTGCACCAGTTTTGAGCAGAAACCATTGTAATCAACAGAAGGCGCTGCACAACCCTCAACCACCTGTAGAATATGACACGCCTACTTTGGTTCCAAAGAAAAACCTGCTAATATTTTGGTTCCAGCTGGGAACCAACTTTTTGGGGTTCTGATCCAAATAATTTTTGGTGTAAATGTTCAAAACTAGGTCCCTGAATCCGAACGGAGTCGGCTCCCAAAAAGCCAGGGTCAATGCCCAAGAACACTGACAGCATACCTGAAGCCTGTCGCACACACAGTAGCTTCAGTGGGAAAGAAGACTGATAATTAGGACGAGGACCTGAGTGATCAAGAATGTTGTAGGAAGACCTTATGAATGAAATGCGAGGTGTTACAGGGTCCACCTGTCACTCAATAGCACGGATATTTGTGGGCTGAAGCATCACCACTAACTGAAAACGCCATAAATTCATCTCGCTCGTTCAAACTTTCTGCCGTCAGTTGGATTGTCTGCACACAGGAAATGGTCAGTTCAAAAAAGTGTCTCCTAAACGGCAGCAAGCAAGTAACCTGGACTGGACCGCTCATGTCACCACAGAGGATTTCTGGATCATTGGATCCAACAGTTCAACAATGATAGCTGTGATTTAAACCACCAACATGGAAAGTCTTTTGGATGGGATGCAACAGGACTGAGGTTTGCTGTGATATACCTTTAATTTATTGAATGTTTATTTATTTCAGAACTGAGGCTTTGAGTAAAATCATGCTTTTAATTGTGACCTGCACCTGGAGCTGACATAAGATAACTGAATAAAACTGAGCTGAACTTAGCAGCACAGTCCTGGATAAACAGTGTTGTAGTGAGCTGCTGGAGATTCCTTGAAATCACTGACAGATCTGTACTGAACTGTGCTGGACTGAGATGAACTTCAGTGGACTGGGTTAAAATGGGCTGTTTTAGCCAGGGGAATGAATGACCTCTTGGAGCAAACAGAGGACTACTGGACCTTACACAGGATTCGAAAAGACAGAAAAGGCACCATTGAGACTGAAATCCTTTCTGTTTAGGACAACTATAATTTCTTCGTATCACTGTTTACAAATACTTTGTCCAGAAAAATGCTTAGGTAGTTTACAAAAATGTAGAATAATCAGGGAAAACCTGCATGTAAATTCACCAGGGACGGTTTAGAAATCTGTGTTTCTAGAGCAAAAACCTGTGACCTTTGGTGTTAAGGTGGGTCATGAATTCCACCCTTGTACATTTGTCCACCAGCCACTGTGGCAAGTAACCAACTATAGTGTTTGGGTCCCATTCATTTGGCTTGTAAAATAGTTTGTGTGGCTGCTGAATCGGTCTTGGATTTAGACAGAAGAGTCCATTTAGGGTCCTGTTTGTACTGATGAATGTAATTTCTCGTAGAATGTGTTCTGCCATCACAAGTGCTGTGCAAGTACTGCTTTCACCAAATGCTTTCGCTTTCACACCACTCCCCTCTGACCGTTTTGCAAGCATTTAGCATTCTACAATAGTAAGCATTTATTTTCATGCAGCCAGGGATGCAGAAAGGTGCAAATATATGCAACCCGCCGTTCTGTAGAAGCAACTTTCCCCTTTGTGGTCTAGTATAACAACATCCATGCAAATGTGCAAGTGTATTAGTTTGTGTTTATCAGTGCAGCTGTAATAAAATCTATTCAGGTACCAGAGGAACAGCAGTCTGCTGTTTCACCTCAGTTTCATCTTCTCAGCAGGGACTTTGGATCAGTAACGTTGGAAATTTCAGCTTTCCTAAAAGGAAAATGCAACAGACCGACCCCCCAGGATGCAGTTCTAGGCAGGAAACACACAATTTCTATATCCTGAGGGGTCTGAGATACAGTTATCTCATCAGCATCGCAGCACACTCTGTAATCATTACACAGCATTACTTGTAACATGTTTTAATCACCTCCTAATGCACAGAACAGCGTTGTGTTAAATGGTTAAAAATAAATATGAAAAGTGCGTACAGTTAACTGCTAACTCAACTGAATAGTTCTGACAACATCAGTGCTAAAACAATCAATCCATTCATACATCGATAGCGTAATCACTGTTGAAAATGTGTATTTGTTATAGTTATTAGTAAACAAATAATCACATTAATAAACATGTAATTAAATATGTAATTTAGGATTGTTACTGGAGCACAGAGCAAAAAGGGGCGGGACTTAGGAAGGGTCAATTGAAGGTAATCCCGAATGCCTGAAGTAAGCAAATGTATGTTGCTTAAAAAGAAAATAAATAATTCTGAAGGTGAAAGATATTTAGGGCTAAACATAAAGCTCAGTTGCAGTCTGCGGTCCCTAACAGGTTACAGGTCAGTTTGAGCAGTGGATCACATGGAAACTCTACAGCTTTGTCCCTACAGGGCACGAGTACTTTTCCCTTTGTTTAAATTTCACCTGAGAAAGTCAAATCTGTGCTCTGCATTTTATTTTAGCCTAGCACTCAGGGTCTCCATGAGCCATAGACTATAACCCAGCCTTCAAAATGCATATTACAGCAATTCACCCAAATATTTAAGCTGTACTGAGGTCTGTATTTCTGTCTTGTTAAAATTGTTAATAGTTTCCTGTAAAGACAACAATTCATCTGCAACCTCTGGAGTAAGATCTTTTTAAATACTGTTTTCCTGCTATTTCATGATTGAAATAAATGTTTCCCAGTCTGCCTATCAGGATTTAAAATGACAATGAAAATACTAAAATATGATGACGCAGTAGTAGTGTTCAGTATGTACAGCATGTATTTCTGTCTAAAACCAGAACAGCTTCGCCCTCTGATTGCTTCAGTCATTCTCTTAACCCCGGTCTGACCTGCACAGCAGCAGAGGCTTGGTTTTAACGCTCTGAAGAGCTGATCTGTTGGTTGTCTAAACCACATGATATAACGAGGGAATCTGCTACTGAATCAAAACACCAGTAATGCCATTGTCCAATCCAAGCAACCTGTGCTTCTGCTGGCCCTAGAAAGTTTGAGGCATCACTCTTTAACCTTTGGCCCTCCGGTATTCACATGCTTCCTCTGTCTTATCCAAGGTGTACAACTGCAAGCTATATGCTTACCTTTGGGCTTGGCTCCTGACTCTGAGAAAAACATATGGACAGAAAGAATTACATATGGATGTATGCTTCAAAAACTGATCACTACAACCAGTTTAGCATTTTGGCTGAGATGTTTAAAACCGGTATAGTCTTCAGTATAATGCCAGTGGTGGAAGAAGTTCTCAGCAAGTAAAAGCATCACACTGATACATGGAACAACTCCAGCTCCTAATAATCGCACAGTAGTTGATGGAAACAAGCATTCATTCGCATTTTATTTTGCCAATTGACATTTGGTTGGAAACTTGCAGAATGTATCAGAATGTTGCAGCTGGTAAAGTGGAGCTAATTTGAAATACTTTATATACTGCTGGGTATCCTCTGAATCCCCCCTGGGATTGATAGGTCTTATCCTATCAGACCTATAACAAAAAAGAACGTATAATATTGATTATATTTTGTATTAATGTGAATCTAAAAAGTAATTGGTAATTTAACCATTATTGAATAAAATAAATGTAGTAGAGTAAAAAGTACAATATTTCTGTCTGAATTGTTGTGCACTAGAAGTGTATTTAGTACCTCAAAACTGTACCTTCTTGAGTAAAGGTACTTAGTTACTTTCCACCACTGGTAAATGCGTACATCTCTTCAAGTCACAGTACAACATGATCACTGCTGCGGTCAGGTGTCCCTGCCGTCCTCTGTCGTAGACACAACCTCAGATCTTCTCCTCTAAAGGGTTCAACTCTAGGCCGCCTGTCCCAGTGTCCATTCAGTCCCAATCCCACAATGCATCTGTCATGGCTTGGTGAGCCACGTAGCACCGTGGTGGCTCCACCCTGTTGAATGCTAGTCTGTGCTGTGTCCTGGTAGTGTCCATGCTGAGCTTTGTCCAAACATTATGCTGATGGCTTCATGTTGCTGTGTGAAGCAGCACACGTCTGTATAGGCTGCCTCTTCTTACTCCATACAACCTGCTGGTTTGTTACTCTTTACTAATAAACAACCTGCTTGTTTGTATTTTCTCCTCTCTCTGTCTCATTCTCTCTATTTCAGAAAGGGTTTCAAACATTTTAGACTAAACGTCAGAAGATTCGACAATGATAACACTGGATGTACTACCTGTACCTGTATCATCATCTTTTGCTGATTTATTTATTCATTCATAATCAACCTTATGAATTATACCACAGAAAGATTCTCGGGTTAACCTGTATGTAACTTTTTGCCAATTTACTGAGTTCAGTCAGATTATAGAAAAGCTAAATACATTCACATGTCCTGAACATTTTTGAGCTGGGACTAAGCCTCTAGTTTAAAGTTGTTTTAAGAGGCTTGAGTCAAAAAAAAGAAAGTAAAAAGGTGAGTGTGCATTCTTTCAGGTTCTCCACTGGTTAAAGCTATAATGGCGGTGCTGACAGATATGTTTAAAAGCCTTAAATGTCCAGTGTGTAACATTTAGGAGACTAAATATGTACACAGTAAAACCAGATAAGTTAATTCAAATTTAAAAAAAACTGTTGAAACTAATTACATAAAACATTTTAAGTAAAACTATACAGTTTCTAAGTTAAAAAAACATTCTTGATCAAGTAGCTTAAGTAATTTTAAGTAACACTGACTTAATTTTATCATTTTTATTTGCAATACCTAGTCAAAAGTACTTAATCAGCAATGTTTCTGTAACTTACAAAACTAAGTTAGTGTCACTTAAAGGTACTAGTAAAGCTACTTAATCAAGAATCTTTTTGAACTTAAAAATTTTGTTTGTTTTACTCTACACTTTCAATGTAATCAGTTTCAACATTTTTTTTTGTTATAACTTATTGCATTGCAGTGTATGTTTTCATTATGGCATAATCACCTGAATGTAGGAATCGTTTGTTTTTTTGTTATAAGCTGTTTACATCTACAGACGTAAGGGTTGCCTTCCCAGTAGTCCACCGTGTCGCTACGGTAGCCCAGAAGGGACAAACCAAACACAGGCTCTAGACAGAGGCGTTTCTGTTTTGGGGGCATTTTGCAGCCACTGTAGTTTC